AGGAATCTTCGAATGGATCGCAGCCGATCCGCGCATGCAGACGGCTTTCCAGAACCACATGGCTGGCTACAGCATGGGGCGGCCTCACTGGATGGACGATGGGTTCTATCCCGTGACTGAGCGCTTGAGGGGAGTGGGGGAGGGGGAGGTGTTGATTGTGGATGTGGGTGGAGCGACGGGACATGATTTGGCGGAATTCCACGACAAAGCGCCTACCATATCTGGGAGACTGATCCTGCAAGATCAAGCCCAGGCCATCTCCTCGATTCGAGAGGGCGATCGGCCAGGTATAGAATGCACAGTGCATGATTTCTTCACGCCGCAGCCGGTCAGGGGCGCGAAAGCTTATTACATGCACTCGGTCCTGCACGATTGGAGCGATGACAACGCGCGCAAGATACTCACGCAACTCAAAGAAGCGCTGAAACCGGGACATTCGAAGATCTTGATTAATGAGAACGTGGTCAGTGATCAAGACGCTGACTGGAAGATTACGAGCCTAGACTGGACCATGATGGTATGCCTTGGGAGTTGCGAACGAACAGAGACGCAGTGGCGAGATCTGGTGGTGAGTGTGGGCTTGAAGATTAGTGGTATCTGGAAGGGGGAGGGGGCAACGGAGAGTTTGATTGAGATTGTACTGGCGGATGATGCGTAGATGAGTGCGAAAGGCCACACTGTTAGAGTAGAGTCGTTTTGAGTTACCCTCGTCAGTTTGTTAGAAACTTTGTAGTGTAGAGTGAACCCACGAACCCTCTCATCATGTATCAAATCTGATTCAAGGTGGAACTTTCAGATATAGGCTGGACTACTTTTGCTGTTGACTGTTGTTTACGCCTCAACTTTGGTGTGGGAACTTAGAGAAAGTGGCGTGCATTAGCGTCGATACCCACCATCGAATTTCCCCTGATTTCTGAAACAAACAAAAGCAGCGCCAAACGGCCAAATCTTCAACACCAACAGATCAAAATGAAGCTGTCACTCAATCCGCTGCCACGACATGCAGAAACCGCGTCTGGCAAAATCTCAATCATGGCTAAGGGTTTGTGACGACCACCGAGTCCGCCTACTGGACTTCTAAGAGGGATTGCCTTTCGCCTCCAAATCGCGTTACAAGTGACTATTCACGTCGAGGAATGGAGGACAAATATATACAAGCATGCATTCCACACATGCACACCCGTTGCCCGATGGACGTACTACATCGAGTCAAGCAATTGGCTCGTCACATAGCTATAGCGCAATAACATCACCAACGACGCTGACTTCGCAACAGCAGAACGAAGGCCTGAGTCACCAGACTAGGCGACTACATTTACGCAATGCTGGATTCAGAGGAGCGATCTTCCCTACTCGGCGCATAAGTCCGCTATTTACAACATCATCCCCGGCGATTGAGTCCATCAGTCGCCAGGTCAGCAACGAGAGTAGCTCCTTGAGCGCAGAGAAGAGATCAATGTACGGCGAAGATCTACCACCGAGCCCGGTGAATATCCTGCAAGAGATACAGAAGTCCACAAGAAAGAAGCGCTCATCGCCAAGACCAGGTTTTGGTGCCATTTTTCAAGACAACACTCAGACGGGGGAAATGAATGGAGCTAGTGAGACATCTTGGTACGCGGAAGGAAGTCGCAACTGCTCTCCGGCGGCCTCGGCCGCAACTCCGGTCAACATGATGAAGCTAAGAGAAGGATCTGGGAACCAGAAGACTCTTCCAGCACCGCTCAGTTCCCCATTGACGAAGCAAGTAAAGGGTCGGAATCTCAAACGCATCAATCTTCGATCAGCCAGCTCCGAGGCTTCAACATACATTGAGCATCTCGAGTCTCAATTAGCTTCTGTCAACGCGAAACTCGACTCCCTCACGTCACCTAACACGAACAAGCTCCGCTCCGCAAAGTTGAGGGCACTTACTGTTGACAATCGGAATTTACGTCAGGATCTTTCAGCTTGGGAGAAGCAATTTGCCGTCAGAGTCCAAGAAGAGAGGGATCAGCGACTAGAGGTTGAGATGGAGTTGAGGATACGTCTGCGGACGCTGGAAAATGACATGGAGTTGAAGGATGCAAGAATAGCAGAGCTGGAGTGGGAGGTCGAGAGCATGCGAGTCAAGGTTGGGGATGCAGAAGGTCTCGAAGAAGTGAACATCGGTCTGGAGAAAAGGATTGAGATTTTGACGAATCTTCTTGTTCACTCACCGAACAAGCTTGACATGTGCTCGGCAGCAACATCACCAGTCCGAGCTGACCCAATCAAACGGACATCAAGGCCAAAGTCTATGCTTCCAAGAATTCCTTCGCCATCTGGAGGCGTACGGCTGTCACTGTCTACGGTTTCGGAGTCTGCATTCTGGCAGCCCAGCAACATTGAATCGTCACCGAGCGTTGTGGAGTCGCCCGAGGACGCTGTGCAGGATGTTGATGGACAATGTTTACAGTCGCCCTCTTATGAGGAAGGCGTGCGATCGCCTGACTACAGAAGGCAGTCTAGGCAGTCTGGATCTGAAAGTCGATCGAGAACATCAGGTTCCTTCCGCTCTGCGCCATCATCTGCATCAAGACCGAACTCGTTCCGGTCAAGCGGTTCTTTTGGTCCAGCATCATGGGGTTTGCCACATCTCGCTGACGTCGACGCCAGATCAGCCAACAAGCAGCGAAAGATGCGCAAATTTCCCTCTGGTTCAGTCTCTCTCCGACCTCTGATCTTACCTACCGCAACTATCATACCTTCGTTACCTGTATCTGCCCCTATCTACCCATCAATAGAAGCTACTGCGAGACAAGACATCTCGGAAGTCTCGCTCGATCCAACTACGTCCTTTCTATCCAAACCCGTCGATAGCTCACCAACCACTACTCCTGATCGACCTGGGCGTCATCGCTCGACATCTTGGGCACAAGAGCAGACATTAAAGGCTTTAGAGGGCAGGTTCATGGATGTGGAACAACTGGACGACGAACAAATTTCTCCCTTGGTCGTTACGAGATCTGAGGAGAAGCTTTTTGGATTTGGAGAAGTCCCATCAGAAGATCATAAAAGACGGTCACGGCCAAGGAGCCTTCGGAAAGAGCTTGAAGAAGCTGAAATCGAGCAGGCTGGGCAAGCACAAGCTTTGGCCTCCCCCGAGCTATTCGAGGATGGTTTGATACCTGTTGATATGGAAGAGAGTCCCGAAGACAGCCCCGAATCCGGCCAAAGCATGATGGGCATTGACCCAACCCCTTCAAAGGCACCTGCAAAGGCCGCATTTCCAAAGCAGACACGCCTACTCATAGAGTCGGAGGATATTCTGAAGCGAGAGAAAAAGCCAACCCCACCTACATACGCATCATCCCAACCAGTCAAAGCTCTCCCATCAACTCTCCTCACCACTCAGCACGCCTTCGGCATCTTCTCCCGCCTCACAAACCTCATTTCCCAAACGAAACAAGACCCTCTTGTCCTCGCACGGCGGCTCCTCTTCAACGCATGGACACAGGGATCCAAGCGGCTGGGTGGCATAGGATGGTGGCTCTTAGGTCTGGTTTATGGTACTCGATGGCGTAAACGGAAACGCACGGCTGACAGCGGAACAGTTGAGCCAACAACTACACAGGACTTTGACTGGCATCATTTCACGGCTGAAGCGAGCAGGAGTAGGGCCGCTGAGCACTACTTCAGAGACTACGGGGCCTGCCATCAGAGAATGGACTCCTGGCGTTCTCCGCCACATGCCTCAGCTCAACAATTGCCTTCGAGCAATATCATACCGCCGGCTGCTCCCTCTCCCAAACCAAGAAAGCAACCCCACTTCTTTCCCTGCAACGACTGCGTCGAACCTTCATCCCGCCGCACGCTCCGCCTCTGGTTCCAATTCTCACTCACCATCGTCCTCGCCGTCGGCATGGCCATCAAAGACGGTCCCGCAAGTCTATTATGCGAAGACCTCGACCCCCGTCTTCCATATCACGCGCACGAGTCGCTGCCGCAAGCTACCCAAAACCCGAAGAATCATTGGCATGAACGCGAACCGTTACTGCAAGCGCACCGATCGAGATCAAGGCACCAGAGTGGCGATGGAGATGGACTCGTCGTCGACCACCCAGACGGCACATCCCCGCCTTCGAGGGTCAACAGCCTCCAGTCCAACGGCATAGACTCCGGCTACGGCAGCATCACGTTCGCCGAGACATTGGGACCGGCAGACTTCGAGGCCATTTGCTGAGGGGTGTTTTTTTTCCCCGGGGTTTCCCTCAGGCGCTCAAACACTACTTCTTTCTTCTTTCTTCTTTCTTCTATGAGCATATTCTCTTGGCACGGCGTTCGCGAGGGCATCAGCGAGGCAGCATTGACGTTTTCCGGCTATGGCTTTTGGCCCGGAGCGGGCGGCGCTTTTTCTTGTCTGCTTGCTTGCTTGCTACTGCGTGCCCTTTTTTGGGAGTACCTATACCCGTTCCGAGAGGCTGTCGTGTCCGTATGGCGTCATGGTTATGATTATGGTGCTTATGTATGCATAGACTCGAGCGGAGTTTACTTCTAGAGAAAACTTTTCTTGGTGCGGAAATGACCGAAACGTCGTCATCGTCACTTGTGAGATTTGCACGATCACTTGTGATTCATTGTTTTCCGTAGCCGATCAACTACGAACGTAGCGTACAGTGAAATCTCCCCATGCTTTCAAAAAAAAAAGGAAAAAAAAGCTCGATAGCGCCACGCATGCTGGGGTATATATTTTTTCCGCTAAAAACGATTGGCTGAAAGCGAACATGCGAATTCCTCACGTGGGTATCATAATGACGGTGACGGTGGATGGTGGTAACAACAGCGCAGATGCTCGAGCTAAAATGATGTGGAGGCATGGCTGGATATGTTGGGTGCAAGTGTGGGCGAAATGGGAGAGCTAGGTAGCGAAGGTGATGGTGATGGTGATGCTGCGGGTACTTTTGGTGGGGGAAGTCGGGTTGACGGGTCCGTAATTTACAAGATACGTCCAGAACATGTCGCTCTCGTGATTGCCTTCTCTAGGAGTCGCACTGCCCCGGATAAGCCCTGCTCGTGGGCGGGTTGGGGAACAGGCCGGCCGCGGTCAGATTCTGCAAGTGCCATTCAGGTGCGCTTTCGGTCCTCCAGGTCCAGAAGATCCACCCCGTGTGCTGCTCGTAGGCGTCGAGCTGGGCGTCGATGAAGTGCTTCAGATTGTCCTGGTCGTCGGAACTCAGGGCCGCGACCGTGCCTGTGGCTTTGCCGGCACAGGAGCCGACGTAACTGGAGCCGGAATTGGCGAGGCTGCCGTCATAGCGGGCTCCTTTTCCGAGGCCGTTGAGCCATTGGGCGCAGTCGGTTTGCGCGCCGGTCCATTCGCCGACGATGGTCCACTTGTCGGTTCCGGCGAGTTGGGGGCCGAGAGCGCAGGCGGCGGAGACGTGGTCCGAGGGGCTCATGGCGACTTGAGCTGGCGAGAAGACTTGATATTGATGAGTGTCGAGAATCACATTCTGGTCGCCCGACGAGGCTGGGGTCATGAAGCCGTTCCAATAGGTTTCGATGTCTTGGAAAGCGTCATGGATGCAGGTTGCGTAGTTGCCGCTGGCTCCGGTCACGGTCTCGTAGCCGGACTGGTAGAAGGTCTTAAGCTCGTCGAGGTTGAGAGAGCCACCAAGAGGCTCATTGAGGAGCTCAATTGCCGTGACGACGTCAGTGTCGCCGGAATAGCGCTGAGCGAGGTTTTGAAGCGCGGTGAGTGTCTGGTTAACCGTATCTCCTTGCTGCCAATCCACCGGCCCGTAGCGGCCACTGTTGTCGAAGCCATTCTGCGATCCAGGCGCTCCATGAAGATCAAGCAAGATTTTGAGATTAGCAGTTCGAGCCCAGCCAATGGCCTGATCCAAGACATCCAATTGGCCTTGGACGTACGGGTCGCCCTCTAAGGGAGCAGCCGCCCAGTATCCGATGGGAATCCGAACATGGTTGAGGCCATTCTGGCCGATTTGGATAAAGTCATCTTCAGTGATCCAGGTGTTCCAGTGGTTCGTCAGAGCAGCAGATGCAGCGTCTTTGCCGAGGGTTTGAGTGTAGGTGTACTCATCGACGACGGTCATGCTCGTGGCCCAGGGCTGAAAGATGGAGGGAGTGATCCATGGCTCGAGCACGAACCAGCCACCCAAGTTCACGCCACGGACTTTGTCATTCTGGTAGTCGAAGGCCACATCACGCTTGCCGAGGCGGCTGTTGACTGGTCAGTGAGATTGCTTAGGCAAGGGACATGGGGCAATTTACAAGGTGAGAGGGGCAGATTGCACGGTACCCAGCAAGAAGGTAGCAAGGGCAGAGAGGTGGAGGAAGGTATGGCCGCTCAACATGGTGGTTATTGGAGTGTACTTGATTGAGATCTTTGTGGTTGGTAGATGTAGGTTAGGTGATCAAGTGAGGTTTGTTTGCAGGTTGATGCCATTCACGTTTTTAGAGGAACCAGGAGGAATGTGGAATGCAACAAAGATTTTCTTTAGGAGGCAAAACAAAGAAAGCGGGTGATTCTCATTCTCCTTATATATGATGAATGAGGAAATTGGGACCTTCCGTGTAGGTTTGGAAACAGCAAAGGTGGTCACACCGCAACTACCCATGGCCAAAGGATTCATTTTTGGGGATTCAGATGCACATGCCCAATGACCAATGACGCACCGACGGTGCGTTTTGAATTTCCTACAACCATCCAATACCCCTCGAGCGTATAAAAGTGAGACCCGTTTCCGGCGCGTACTAGGCGGAAATAGGGGGCACATGCATGCGGCGGGCAGCCAATACTAGACGGGCCTCACGACGCAAGTGACAATGACAATTTGAAATGAAGAAGATGAAATTAATAATAAGAATAATAATATTAGTATTATTATTATGCGATGCGATGCGATGCGATGCACGGTGATTCGGTGACGACGATGATTTGTGGAAGATCAGCAGCAAGGGGGCAAAGCAGGGGGTGATGGTCATGAGCAAGGAAAAAACATTTTTCTCTTCCTCGGGTACCCCGCAAAAGCCACCCGCTGCGCCAAGAAAAGATCCGTGTCAGATCCCCGATCCCGTTTGCTTTGTGGTTTCAATGTTTTAGGTACTCGTACCTAATGTATGTAGGTATAGCAGGTGCTTTGTTTCTGTCCCATTCAAAGCGCACAGTCGCCACAATGGACTGGTTTGTGTTGTCGCATAGTAAGTTATTGCGCGCTCTGACACCTCTCAACCACTCTCTCAATCGTAGTGTTAACCAAAACCGGAACCAAATAGGGACCGGAAAATCAGGCATAGGGAAGACTTTACATGTCTCGGTCCGATTGGTGCCCACCCTTCATCGCTATTGTCCTCCCCCCCTCCGCTTTGTCACAAGCTTACACGCGCAAGTGCATGAGATCGCACGAGCGATCGCCCGAACATGCTGCTCTAGATGCTTCTTTGTGATTGGATTATCTGACGCTTGGATGTCGTCAGGTCACTCAACAAGTCAAAGCATGGTCACCGGTCAGCTCCGTCAGCTTACCAAGGTACGTCAGGGCCACACCGCGCAGCTCTTGGTGTCTACTTGAGCAAATAAGATGCGTGTCCGACCTGCCGAATGGGGCCCAAGCATGTGCCGTGGAGGATTTCCGCGGTCATGGAAATGACTGCATTGCTCCACGGACTACTCGGCAGCAACTGCACTTGCTGGCGTGAGCTCTTGACATTACAGCGAGGCGTTACTAGGGTGTTCATGGACTCTGTCAATGGCCAAACGATGACGCGCATCTGCCATGGGTGTTACCAGAGATCTGAAAAGCATGGTGGAAAGCCCTGCCGGGGCGGTACACTAGATCATCTCGCAGTTATTCAAGCTGCCACGACAAGTTCTTGGCATTGTGAAGATCTTCCAAATTTCGCCCCGATCGAATGATTGCACACCTTCATCATTGTTTAGTGCGGTCTTCCTTCCCTCCATCAGCCCCAAACTTCCCCTCAATCAGTACCAAGGTTCCCCTTCAGCATTCCAAGCAACCCCTCACCAGTGCCAAAGCCCTCCGAGAGCAGCTCCGTTCCTCCTGCGATACGTAATGTGGCTTCGTACCAGATCTTCCCCTCTCACGAACGCAGCCCCAACCTCCCACGCTCATCCTCAGACAGCCAGACCTCATTCTCGTCCTCCCCGCCCCTCACCATCTTCCCATACAGCCTCACAGCTGACCCATCTCCCACAGCCATGACCGCAAGCATGATCCTGTTCTCGTTGTCGTCCTTCACCGTGTGTTTGGCGTTGAGATCGGGACCTCGGTCTGCGAAGTTCCACATCGAGATCCGCACGCTCTGAACGCCTTCACTGCCTCCCCTCAAGCTGCCACCGACCGGTTTGAAGTCGTCGAAGAGCTTGATCGATGGGTGGTAGACGCACTCGAACTCGGCCTGGACATCCTGCCAATGGAAGGCGACGATGCAGAACCATCCAGTGCTGTCTCTTTCGGGCGGCACGTCGTATCTGATGTACACGTTTCCGTTCAGTGAGTACTCGTGGCGATCCGAGTAGACAATCTTGTAGATCGTATCGACGGTCTTGGGGTCTTGTGGGGAGTGAGCGGGGTCCTTAGAAGGGTACTCTAGAGGTGTGACTGAGGAGAAGCTTTTCTTTGGTTGAGTGGTTCCTCTGCTGGTTAAGTCATCGACAATCATGTGTTCTCGCAAGGATGAACCAGGCTGCGCTGAGTATTCTTTCGGACGCATGGCTGAGGAATGCTTTGCTTTCAATGGAGCTTTGCCTTGCTTGAGTGAGACTTTGTACTCAGTGAGGCTTAACTCTGATGGAGTTCAAAGAGTAATCAAAGAGAGTTCCTTGATTGGTTGTTGGGAACAGTCTTTGGGTGAGACTTTGCTCGCCGAAGTGGAAGAGATCTCCTTGTGCAATTTGCTGTACTGGTATGAGGAGGAAGATGAAAAATTGAAGAAGAAGATGCTTCGGACGCCTAAGCAAAGATGATGGCGGCAAACGCGTGTAGACGGCATATCTTTCTTCATTGTTTATATTTGTATCAGCCGCGTCATTCATCCAGTGTCTGGCGTATGCTTTATAAGCTTATCTTGGCCGCTGTATTCACTTTCCTGGGTGATTCCTAGCAACAGTGTCGAGAGTGTCTACTTTATCTCTAGCTGCATTCACTTCTCCGGTAGATGTCTAGTCTTCACAGTCGATCTCTTCACGACTGTAACAATGGCCGCAATTTGCCCTGAGTCTCCGGTATTTGTTCTACTATTTCTAAACCCTAATTGGTTCACAGCCGGACAAGAGTATGGAATCATCAGAAGCATGGGTCGAGACAAAGTCACTTCAATCTGCAGCTTAGATTGTTCGTATAGGTCCGCAATCGAGGTTAAAACAAACTTGCTACTAGGGAGGTTTAGCAATGTGATTCAAAAGAATGATTTAAAACGAAAAGGGTAATAATTCAATAGGCTAACCATATAGGGTAGTTATTAGCCTCGTCGATTACTTATAAATTAAATTACTATTTTATATTATAAAATAGTAATTTAATTATAAAGTTACCTTATACGATATTAGCGTAATTACTTATTTAGATATATAAAATTAAATAATTAGTTAGTAAACCTATTAAGTTCTTACTATATATATCTTCTATCTTTTAATAAATAATAGCTAAATGAAAAGAGATTTCTAATACTTATATATTAAATATAAGACTTATAAAGAAGTTCTAATCTAAAAGAAATAATTCTATATTATTTAAAGTCGCCTTTATTTTATTAAGAAATTCTACTCTATTAATAAGTTAATAATCTTTTATAATATATAAATCTCTTAAAGCTATATTAGAGTATTATTATATTACTTTTCTTATCTATTTATCTAAAATATAATTTATTATACTTTTAATTAACTTTAAGAAATCTCTAATATATTATTAGTAAGATAAAGATCTTATAATTTTATAATATTTAACTACTTCTCTTTATAAGCGAAAAAAGAAGAAATAATATTATTTAAAAGTCTTTTAGAAGGAAAGAAAGAGTTTTTAAATTATATATAAGAGAAAGGATAAAGAGAAGAAATATATATTATTAGCTAAGGAGAAAGATAGTAATAACTTATCTCTATAGAATAATTCTAATACTATAAGATTATATATAAATAAATAAAAGTAAATAATAAAGAATTTACGAAATTAAATTAATAGTAATCGATTAATAGAAAACTTTTAAACTCTAGTTTCGGCTTTTATATTAAATATATTAAGAAAACGTTATCGTAAATAATAGCTAAATTAGCGTTTTATAATAGAAAAGCGATTAATAGAGAATAATAAGATTCTTATTATAGATATTACTTTTAAATATTAAGTAAGATATAAAGTAAACTTAATAAGACAATTTTAAAAAAGAGTGTAAGAGAAGTTTATAAAGATTATTAAGCGAGATTATACGAGTATTAAATATTATATAAAGAATTATTTTAATTATAGATATAATTAGCTAAGATAGAATATAAAAGTAGATTATAGTTATAAGATATAAGAGAATATATAGATTTAGATAATAAATAATTAGAATATAGTAGTTTAGACTTTTAAGAAGAAGAAGAATATTAATAAAGTAGCTAAAGAAAAGAAGCTATAAGATTTATAAAATCATAATTAAAATTATAAGTATTTAAATAAGAGGATAGATAATAAGAAGAGAAAGAATAATATATCTAATAGCGATAAAATTATAGATTAAAATAATAATAATAATAATAAGAGTAGTATTAACGAGATCTCAAATAACGACTTTTCTATATTACTTAATAATTCTTCTATATTACGTAATAGCTCTATATCTAGACTCTTATTATTTAACTTATTAATATTAATATTAAGATAAAAACCTTCTATCTCTAAGAACGATTTTATCTCTAATAATAATTCTTTAAATTTATATATATATATTATAGTTAAAGATCTTAATAGTATAAGCGAGCTATCTAATATATTATCTAAACGAATTAAGAAGTAAAAGAAGAAGAAAACCTTTAATAAGTCTTATAAAAAGAAGAAGGATTATAGAATTATAGTTATCGAAAAAATTATCGAATTAAAAATAACTTTAACTATATATCTTAAATATCTAATAAATTAATTTATAATATTTATATAGTCTATAATATTTATATATTAATTATTAGCTTTATAATTATTAACTTAATTTAATTAAATTTAAATATTATTTAATAAAATTTAAACGAATAAATAATTAGATATTATAATTAACGATATTAAAGATTATTAAAATAATATAAAGAATTATTTAACTTATATTAGATATATAGAGAATTAAATAAAATAACTTA